GAGCCCTCCCGCCCTGCTAATAACTCCACGAGTCACAGACTGTGGACCCAGAGGTGTGTGTGCGAGACTCCCCTCCCCACGAGCCACCGCTAACTTCAGACACACAGGCGAACCAGCGCTCTGAGACGTGGTTCCTCGCAGAACCAACCCCCAAGCCCCAAACCAAAGCAGTAGCTTCACCTCCTGTTCTGAGGCCAAAGCAGGGACGGAAAGGCTGAGCAGGACAGCAGCCAGGACTTCCCAGCCCCCAAGGCCCAGCCCAGGGCAGACGGCAGGCGGACACTGGCCCCCAGGCCCCTCGCGTTTGGAAAGAGACCCCTGGCATGTGACCCTTGGTCTTCCCACCCCCCGCTTCCTATCTCCTCTTTGTCCTGTCCTGCCCTGGGCCCAGGCTGGCCAGAAGAGGGGACTACATCCCCAAATGGTGTCTGGTAGATGCCTTGTTGGCCACGCACCCAGGAGGGTTCCTTCCTGGCCAGTCCTGTCCTTGACTTGCACAAAGTGAGAGACCAACGCCTCCCATTCCACAGGTGGAGGCAGGAGCGTGGAGGATGGAACAGGTGGGACTACACCCAACCCCCAGCCCCACTGCCTGTCAGTACGGCCCCAGGGCAGGAGGAAAGCTGCAGAGGGCTGGGGGCTGCCGTGCGAGAGGAGCCTCCTGGGAGGGCCCATGAGGGCTCAGCCCGGCAGGACATGCAGCAAAGGCCCTAAGGGTCAGTGATGGATAGGAGTGGACAAGAGAGCCAGCAGGCGGATCACCCAAGGGACACAGTGGACAGGTCAGGATGGACTTAAATTTCTCCCGTTTGCCAGTTTTTCCAAACAGATCCTCATGCTGACACCAAAGGCCCATCTCTGGCATCTGCCCACTTTGCCCATTCCAGCCCTGCTCTAGCCAGCATGTCTGTGCATTATTCTGCCCATCCCCTCAGCCTGCTACAGCTAGTGACTGATGCTTTTCTCTCACTGGTCCGTCCCTCTGACCCACCCGTCCATCCATCCATCCACCTATCTACCTACCTCTCCATCCGTCATCCATCCACCCATCCATCCATCTACCTACATCCATCAATCTGTCCATCCATCCATCCAGTTACCTACCTCTCCATCCGTCATCCATCCACCCATCCATCCATCTACCTACATCCATCGATCTGTCCATCCATCCATCCATCCAGCTACCTCTCCATCCATCATCCATCCAACCACCCATCCATCCATTATCCACTCACCTATCTTTCCATCTATCAACCCACCCACTCACTCACCCATGCATCCACTTGCCCCTTTGTCCATCCATCTGTCTATTCCTCTATCCCACCTTCCCCCCATTCCCACATCCATTCGTCCTCCCATCAGCCCCTGTACACACCATGCACCTGTCTACCTGTATGTTCTCTAACCCCCTACGGCTGTCTTCAGTCCGTCCGCCCCATCTGCCTTTCCATCTACTGAATACAGAGCATCACGAATGTCCTCCATGTACCAAAGCCACAAGGGCACTCTGGTCCCTCCTGTGACCTCCACCGCTTCTTGCCCTGGGCCATCAGGACTGCCCTCAAGAAACTGCTGTAAGCAGCAGTCCCTCCCAGCACCCAAGCCGTGATCCAGGCCTGCCCCAGGCCCCCTCCCAGGGACAGGTAGGATTCTGCTGCAGGCATCGTGAGCAGATTGGGCCAGTGACCTAGCAACAGCTCCAGCCAATCTGGGCCCTCCTGGCAAGAGCGGTGGCCAGGAGCCAAGAGTGCGCCTTGGGAGGCAGCCCACACACCTGCCAGGGACTCTTGTGACCAGGGCCGCCAGTTAGGGTGAGCACATTCCCTGGCAAGACCCTGACACCTCCAGGCGGGGCTGCCCTCTCCCTGTACTTGTCTCCAGGGGTCAGTGCCTGGAGGAGGTGTCCCCAGGAAATGAGGGCAGTCAGTTCTGGGCTCCCCCTGAGATGCCAACACTCCTGGGGCCCTACTCCTGCTGGGGGGTTCTTGGGGGACCTCACTCCCATCTTCTTTCCTGGGGTCCCAGAAGGCTCAGAGTTCAGCCTTTCAGATCTGAGATTGGACAGGTGTAGGAACACATCTAGGGCCCAGGCTGAATTAAACCAGTTGTGATGGGTGCTCTCTCAGCCCTCTGCCAAGCTCTCTCCCAGCCCCACACCGTGTGGGCATTTTCTGAAATGGGACTAGCGACAAAGCCCCTGAATTATGACCATGCTGGCCAGAGAAAAAGAGAAGGTAAGGAGAGAGGGGGTCAGGGAGAGCTGGACGCCCAGGAACTGCCTGCTCTGGGAACACCGTACACACAAGGCCTGAGGTGGCCCACATTGCTACCTGCATCCCAGAAAATCCCATTTTGCACGCTTTTTGTTCCTTTTGTCTCAGTCTGGCTGGCCCCTGCAGGACCCAAAGACCCTGAGTCACGGTAACCCAGCATCAGTAGTCAAAGTGCAGCCTGGTTTTTACATATTAAAATGAAGGCCGGGGGCACCACGTGAATGAGAGTCAGCTCACCCGCTGCACCTACTGGGGCCCTGGGGGCCAAGCATGCATGGCCTGAGGGAAACGGATTTATTTTCCACCTCCTTTTTTTCTTCTTCTTTTTTTTTTTTTTTAAGTCTCTCTGTGGAGCTGGCCTGGATGTCGGGTGTTCTTTGCACTGGGGTGCTGTTCACATGCTATGGGCAGGGGCTGCAGCACAGGTCTGCCACCCATCCTCCGATGTACTGTATGTGGGACCTGTGGATGCTGTGGATATGGCACCCAGGTTCACTCTGTACCATGTAATAAAGTGAGCATTTGCCATCACGTGGCTCTGACTCTCCTTGGGTCCCCGGCTACCTCGCACATGTGTTCACCAGGCACACGGTGAGGGCCTTCTCTGTGTCGGGCAGGATAGACAGGCCCCTCCCCATGCAGCTCCTATTCTGGGAGGCGAACAGACCGGTGTGCAACACAGTGTTGGAGGTGACAGGGATAAGGCAGGGCTGGGGCATGGGAGGGGGTGACTGCCGTCCACACACAGCTTCCTGTGGTGCTTGGCAACTGGGTGAGCCTTCGAAGGTTGGTCCTTCCAGGCTGTTTGGACAGCCTTAGACCCCAGAGATGACCCCGAAGGCAGGGAGGGCCTCAGTCCCTCTGCCTGAGCACATCCAGGCTTGGACAGTGCTGGGGCCACATCCCACGAGACCTCCCACCCTGAGGGTGGGCACAGTGGGAAGGGATGCCTCGTCCCTCTGAGGAGCGAGGGCGTGGCAATCCTGGTGTCCTGGCTCAGAGGCCGGTCCCATCCAAAATCAGGTGCCAGGACTTGGCATTGGTGGCAGCCTGGGAGGAAGGGGCTGTTATTAATACTCGGGCCCAGGCTTGGAACACAATGTATTTTGAAGGCGTCACTGGAAAGGCTGGCATGGGGGCAAGCCTGACCCCAGCCAGGCGGCTGGCGAGAGCCCCAGTGGGGCTGGTGTGTCAGCAGTCTCAGGATAGAGCGGGCATGACAAAGTTTTTCCATTGCAGAGGTCTGAGCTCAGGGGGAGGTGGCCAGGGGCTGGGCCCAAGTCCAGCGACTCTTGGCTTGGACACAGGCTATGTGGTGTCCTGACTCCCAAGTGGAGGCAGAGGGAAGGGTCCAGGCAGGACCCTCGGGGGGGCCCCAGACACATAGGGGGAGCACCTGATCCACCTCAGGAGGAGGACAAGGGGCCGCTCCGCACGTCCACCCTCATGCAGCCAGCACTGGGCGGCCAGCCCGTCCTCAGTCAGAGGTGGACGCTGCCCCAAGGCGCTCTGGGCTGCCAGGGGAGACCGGGGGTGAGTGACTGAGCCAGGACAGAGAGAGGCAGAGCCCAGGCACAGTGGCCACTCGAGGGAGGAGGAGCAGCCCAGGAAGGCTTCCTGGAAGCGGCAGCAGAGCCCAGGGGAGTGGTGCCCTTGGAGTGCACACCAGAGAGAGAAGGGGCGTCCCAGGCAGGAGGTGGATTGCGGTCGGATTGCGTTTTTCCCGGGCCCTTGACTCTCCCAAGAAGTCCTTTCCTCATGGGCCAGGGGGGCACCTGCACAGCTTCCAGTCCTCCTCTCTGGAGGTCAAACCAAACAGGGCCCAGTGAGTGGGTGGGACCCAGTCCATCAAGACAGGCTCCAACACCCCCTCCCCCTGGAAGCCTGATTCGATCCTGTATGTCAGAAACAACCCCTCTGCTCCTGCACACTCCGATCTGTTCCTGCCTGCGTTGTGTTCTTTGTGGCCTGCTGCTGGAGGTGTGTATTACTCCGTTTCTGTTGCTTATAAAAACATACCTGGAACTCGGTGATTTAGAGAGAAAACAAAATTTATTGCTCACAGTTTCTGAGGCTGGGATGTCCAAAGTCCAGGGAACACATCTGGTGAGGGTCTTGGTGGTGACTTTAGTGACTCAGGATATCACCTTATGAGACAGCGGAAGCAGAGACAGACTCTCCTCTTCTGTTAAAGCCCTCAGAACCACGCCCCTGGCCACCATTGTTAATCCACTCACTATGGCATGGTCCTACAATCCAATCACCCCTTCAAGGCTCCACTTTCCAACTACCTCTTAACAGTCACAGCGGGGGCTAAGTTTCTAATACATAAAACTCGGGGGACACAATTCAAGCTTCAGTGAGTTTCAGGATGACATAATTAATCCACTGCAGGTGTAATTATGAGCGCAGCATGTGGACCACAGAATGGGCCAGGACCCCGTGAGCCTGTAGCATGGCACAGCTGATGCAGGCGAGGCCCGACCCCCCACACTTGACCCAGCCTCCCTCCTCTCCATCGTGAGTGTCCTGGTGGTGCCTGCCCTGATGAGGGAGAAGGGACAGGCCTGGAAGCTGAGCCCCACCCAGAGGCCTTTTTAAGTGCTTTAGTGGGAGCAGCTGGCCTCGTGGGAGGGCTTAAAACTCCGGGCTGGCCCAGGCAAGTGCAGCTGTGGAGGTGAGCGGTGGGGACGCTGAGCCCAGCCCACCCCCCCCTCCTCACCCACCATGTGGCCCTTCCTGAGTCGCTCCCTCTTCCCACCCCCCACCGAGGCCTGGCTCCAGATGGTCTCCTCAGACCCCGAGGCCCAGGGCTGGGGGGCCTGCAGCAGGACCCAGAAGACCCCTCTGGAGCTAGGGATTGGACATGGGAAGGAGAAGGAAAGTGACAACGAAGATGGCAACGAAGACGCAGGCTTCCCGCTGTCTCTGTTGGAACAGGAAGACCTGGCCGAGTGCCCGGTGACTGACCAGGTAACGGCTGAGTGGAGCGCCCAGTGGAAGCAGGCCTGGGGGTCTCGGGGAACCCAGGGCCAGGGGAGATGCAGGGACAGGGGACGGGCAGCTGCAGCTGACTCGGGAGGTGAGAGTGCTGTGCCCACCTGCGGGGAGAGGGCAGCAGTGTGGCCAGGTGCCATGCTGGCCAGAGGGGTTGGGGCGGCCTCTGTGGCCTAGGGAGGGCCCCTGGGGTGAGGGTTCTAGGGGCTCCTCAGGAAGGAGAGTGCATCCAGAGAAGCGGATGTCCCCCAGGGGCCATGACCCTCTGCAGGGGCTGGCAGGTCACCCTCCCCACCTCCCTCGAGGGGAGCCTGTGGGCTGTCCCGCCCCAGGCTCACCATGGGCTGTGTGTGGGCAGGAGCTGGAAGCCATCGAGCTGAAGCTGTCAGCCATGGAGCAGGCCGAGGGGCCGCTGGTGCCACCCAGCGCACAGGACGAGGCCAGGGCAGAGGAGGGTGCTGGGGTCGTGCTGGCCAGACAACTGCTGAGCCCCAAGACAACGGGTAGGAACTTCCCTGGGTGACTGCTCCCCCGCCCCAGTCCGTGGACCGGCAGCTCCAGGCTCCACACCCCCTGCTTCTCTGACCTCCTCTGAAAATCAGGATGTGCTGGGGACAGTCTCGCCTCCAAGGCGGCTGAACGAGAGTTCTGGTGTTTCCAGGAGGGCTGGTCCTGGCTGCCCCGGGTTGTGGCCTCGCTGACAGCCTGGGTAACCTCTCCCCTGAGGGGTGTGAGAACTGCATGCAGACGGTGGCCACCCCACGGGCTGCTGGTCCTCAGGCCCCTCTCTCCGCAGGCTGCCCCTTCCTTGCGGCCCCCAAGGAGAAGGTGGAGGCTGACCACAGGTCCGTCTACGTGGGCAATGTGAGTGCCATCGATGGGAGGGCGGGCAGAGCGGGGACACTTCAGTGGGCACTGGCCGGGCACTCCCATCCGGGTCCTTCTCTATGGACTCGGCTGACCGTCCTGCTGGTTGGCCGTGCAGGGTGAAGGAGGGAGGGTGTCCGGACCACAAACTCAGCCACCTCTAGGGCCAGACAGGCAGGTGGAGGGAGCGGCAGGGGGGTCTGACCCAGGAGGGCCCAGGCCGTCCCTTCGAGGAAACACGGGCCTTGTCAGACAGATGTTCCGATTTCTCAGCAGGAGCTGGAATTAGGGATTACCACGTGATATTTCTCCATTGGCTAATCATTGGAAACTAATTCCACTTTTAAAATTCCACACAGGCTTTGCATAGGTTATACAAATGTGGGGGGCACAGCCTGAGGTGTCCAGGTATAAAGTGCTTTAACTCTCAGGAGTGGAGTGACCCACTCAAAGTCATCTCTGTCCTCCCGTCTGCTCTGGGCAGGGCAAGGGGTGGAGGCACCATTTGGAACAAGGGCCCAAGCTTGGGGTTTCTTCTGACCCTTCTCTACTAAGAGCCCCCCAAGGGAGGTTGAGGCCTCTCTGCAGAACTCCGACACACATGCCTGTCCTCATGCCACACAGGTGGACTACGGGGGCACCGCCGAGGAGCTGGAGGCCTATTTCAACCACTGCGGGGAGATTCACCGTGTCACCATCCTGTGTGACAAGTTCTCCGGCCACCCCAAGGGGTCAGTGCGGGGGTGGGGGAGGGCCGGAGTGTGTGCTGGAGGAGCCAGCCCTCACCTTCCCCTCCCCCCTCCAGCTATGCCTACATAGAGTTTGCCAGCGAGAGCTCGGCCCAGGCTGCCGTGGAGATGGATGAGAGTGTCTTCCGAGGCCGGGTTATCAAGGTGCATGCCCGGGAGTCACTGTGCATCGCTGGTCCTTCCATCGTAGTGCCAAGTGCCTCTTGTACATTAACCCATGTGTCCCCGAGAGTTGTGGAAACAGGCAGAGAGACTGGAGGACTGGCCAAGGGCACACAGCTGCCCCACCTGACTCCTCTCTGTGCACCTCGGTCATGTCACTGTGCCTGGCCAGGGCAGGGGCGTGGCAGGGACCCTGAGACCCTGAGACCCTGAGACCCTGATACCTTGATCTGTTTTGGTCTGGGTGTGGCATGAGGGATGTGCTCCCTCCCAAGCCTGCCTGACCCTCCTCTGCAGGGGATGTTGACTGTGACTCCACATGTCTGCCATGGCTGCATTGGGTGACGGTGGAAGGATAGTTTAGGCATAAATGGGGAACTTGAGAAGGTTGGGACCAGATGTCCTGGGGGGCCTTAAGTTTATGCCCGCACTTAGAAAATGGTCTTTGGGTTGTAAATACCAAGCAGAGGGCCTAGTGGGCATGAAGGTCTATTCACACCTGCCTGTGTGCTGTAAGCAGAGAAACCCAAGAAGGCTTCCTGGAGGCAGCTCTAGCCCTGGGCTTGGCCTTGGGGGCTGGATTTTGGCTGCACTGGTAAGGAGGAGGGACCATCTCAGCCTATGGTTCCAGGTGCTGCCCAAAAGGACCAACTTCCCAGGAATCAGTTCCACAGACCGCGGGGGCCTGAGGGTACACCCAAGCACCAGGGGGGCACCCTTCCTCTGCAGCAGCCTACAGGGCAGGCCCAGGTTCAGACCACGGGCACAGAACCGGTAAGTGGGGACTTGTGGGGGCTTTCAGGGGCAGCTTGGGGGTGGAAGCCACAGGGGTTATCTGGGGCCTAGAGACCAGGAGAAGGAGGGGGCTCCCAGAACTAGATCCTGGTGGGGGCTGGGGTACCAGCAGAGGTTCTCTGCTGCATCATGCTAACTGGAGCTGCCTTTGACACGGCTGCATAGAGGTGCTCAGCCGAGGGGCCTGAGTCAGGCCCAGGGGTGTTGCATCAGCTTGGAGGAGGCTTTCTACAACAACTCTTCCTGGACGCACCTCTTCTCATTCCCACAAAGGCTCTAGACGTGCTAGAGGCGGCCTGCGTCCAAGCAAGCCAAGTCTTTGCCATTTGGGGCAATGGTCCACAGCAGGGCTGCTGTATGGGCCGTGCACAGCAGGCCTGGGTGGGGCAGGTGGGCATTTCTGGCAAGCACAGGTGTGGCTGTGGCCACAGTCCATAGATCACGTGCAGGGGTGGCCCCCAGACCCCAGCCTCTTCTGGTATGAGCTACCATTCCCTGTCCTGGGACCCTCCCCAGAGAGCCACTGAGAGCCCCCTGGAAGCCCCCTCAGCATATCCTCGAGCTCCTTGGTGACCAACCTACCTTTAATTCTTATCCTGCTGTCCTGGGGGGTCCTGGGCCATTACCCTCCGTCCCTTCACTTTGTGCTCTCTTTCTGTGCAGAGACCGTGGAAGATTCCCACCGTGGTTCTCACCATATTGAAGGGAGGCCCCGATTTTGAAAGTGGGGCTGGGGGCTGGGTCAGGGGTAACAGCTGTGTTCCACAGGGGACCATTTATTCCAGACAGGCCAGGCTAGGGGTGCTATGTGGCCAGTGGGGAAGAGGAGGCAGAGTGAGGCCAGATGTGTCCAGGAGAGACCACTTCGGTGGGAGGACAGTCTGCCGGGGCCTCCCACGGTGGCCCAGACCCCACCCCCCTGCCATGAGTCACAAGCCATGGCACGGTGGGTGGGCCCAGCATGGGGTGGGGAGTCACCGGGAGGTGTCTCTGGAGGGTGCTGGGCAGGTTAGGAGGGAGGGGGTGGGGAGGCCAAGACTGGGCAGGATCAGATCGGAGCTGGCGTTCTCAGCTTTTTGACCAGCTTGTTTTAAGGAAAAATAGAAACGTGTGTCTTAATGGCAAAGCATAAACTATTAAATTTGAATATTTTTTAAAAGCACATGATAACGTCTCTGCCTTCATTCTCCTATCTCTGACACTTGGCATCTTCTCTGGGGCAGGTTCTACAGAAAGGCAGCTGGTGGGATGTGGTTGTGGGTTCAAGAGTACAGGGCCCTTTGCCCACTTTAGGACTAGCAGTGAGCTGGCAGTGTGCAAGGCCAAGGCAGTGTCACCAATGTCACTGCCAGCCCCAGGGCAGCTGGGACCGCCCATTAGGCCAAGACTCCTGCACCTGTGACCCCACCTTCACACCAAGACTGATGGCCTACAAGGCACAGGCGCCCCCGGCTGCATGACATGCCTGCCTCCCATGTGCTGGGTCAGAGGTCTGCCCCAGTGCCAACACTCGATTCTGGCAATGACTACTAGTGAAACCTCTCCCAGGTGTCTCTGCAGCGACTCTATCACCTGGTTGTGCTCATTTCATCATCCGTTCCTCAAGCCCTGGACAGAGATGCCCGTGCTTCACAGGGGAGGTCACTGCCTGGGGAGCATGACCCTCCTCCCCTGCCAGCTTCACACTCCTTGTGGTCCTGAGTCAAGGTTGGCCTTTGTAGTGGGGTAAATGGTGGTGCCCCAAAACTTGTCCACATTTTGTCTATCTCCAGAAACTTTTTGTTCTTGTTTTTTTTGTTTGTTTGTTTTTATGGGGCCGGCCCAGTGGCGCACTCGGTAGAGTGCAGCGCTTGGGAGCGCGGTGGCGCTCCCGCCGAGGGTTCGGATTCCATATAGAGACCGGTCCGCTCACTGGTTGAGCACGGTGCGGACGCAACACCAAGGGTTGCGATCCCGTTGCCAGTCGCGAAAAAAGACAAAAAGGAAAAAAAAAAAAAAGATGACCAGTAAGGGGATCTCAACACTTGACTTGGTGTTGTCAGCACCACACTCACCCAGTGAGCAAACCGGCCATCCCTATATAGGGATCCAAACCCTTGACTTGGTGTTGTCAGCACCACACTCACCCAGTGAGCAAACCGGCCATCCCTATATAGGGATCCAAACCCTTGACTTGGTGTTGTCAGCACCACGCTCGCTCAAGTGAGCTACGGGCCAGACCCATCTCTGGAAACTTTGAATGTGACCTTATTTGAAGAAAAGCTTGTTTGGGGGCTTCTCGCCTCCAGAACTAGGAGAGAGAAAATTACTGTTGTTTTAAGCCCCCCAGTTTGTGAGTCTCTGTTAGGGCAGCCCCAGGAGACAAAAAGGCCCAGATGCCTGCGACAGAACTGTGAGGACTTCCCTGACCAAGGAGCGGCCACCCGAATCCAGCCTCAGGTCGGCTCCCGAATGCTAATGACTGAGTCTGACTTCAGAGTGGGCCTGAGGGGCCGACCCCCCCTCCCCCAGCATCAGTGTGGGCCAAGACAGGGCCTTGCTGGTGGCTGAGAGCAAGGCCCATCCTGAGAAGGTGGGGATCTAGGGGCTAAGGGTCGGGGGCTTTGCCAGGGCTGCCCAGAAGCCCAGGATGCAGCCTGGCCCAGACCACTCATGATTGGGGGACTATGGGAGGGACTTAGTTCCCAGCCTGAAGTTTATGTGGCTCTTTGCAGATGACAACTCCTGCCTGCCCAGCACCCCAGTGCCCAAGTTCCCCAACCTGGCGAGGGGATAGGGGTTGGTCTTGATGCGGTTATTGTGCCCACTGACTGGTCAGGTGGTCCCCCAGCAGTCTTCCAGCCCATGTAGACGTTAGTTCCTGTCCATTTTGATCCTTCTGTGGCCAGTGCAAGAAAACGGTAGAGGGAGCCCAGGGAGACCCTCCTTTCCTGTGGACTTAAGCAGGCCAAGGCGGGGGGAATGACAGAAGCCCTGGGCAGGACCCCACACAGGTGGTCAGCATGTCAAGCCATGAGCTGCTGAGGCCTGCGTGCTGTGTCCAGAGAAAGCCGGGGTGCTCTGGCTGTCCTGGGTGGGCAACAAAGGAGCAGGCTCCTCTTGCCCCCACCTGGGGCAGAAGGAAGGAGAGGAAGCATCATCGCAGCTGCTGCCCGGTGAGGCCGAGGAAGTTGCCTGAAGTCAGAGCCACCGGCTGATCAGAGCCACCACCCACAGTCCCGAGGCAGCGCTCAGCCCTCACGTGGAGGGAAGGCAGGGGACAGGCAGGCAGGGCTGCCACCTTACCTGAGAGGCCAGCCTCGTGGTGGAAGTAACACAAAACTGCCACCTGGTGGTTCTTGTCAGAACGAAAGTGAGCAGATTATTTGACTCTTGTTTTCTAGGGTTTAAAATGGGGTGCTTCCTAACAATGCATCTGAAAACTCTTTTGTGTAAAAAACACTTAGGGATTGTGCTGGCTACACCTAACAGAAAACCCAAACAACAGTGACTCACACAAGAAAGGGGTGTATTTTATCTTCTTACATAAAAAAAGGCTGAACATAAGTAGTCCGGGCTGGGATGTTGGCAAAGCCCAGCTCTCTTGCTTTCTGCTACTGACACTTAGGGTATAAATTTTGTCCTCATGCTCGCAACACAGCTCTCTGAGCTCCAGCCATCATATCCAAGTTCCATGCAGGATGAGGGTGCTCCATGTGCCAGCTGAACCCTCCACTTTTTTTTTTTTTTAAAAGATGACCGGTAAGGGGATCTTAACCCTTGACTTGGTGTTGTCAGCACCACGCTCAGCCAGTGAGCTAACCGGCCATCCGTATATGGGATCCGAACTCATGGCCTTGGCATTGTCAGCTCCACACTCTCCTGAGTGAGCCACGGGCCGGCCCGAGCTGAACCCCCTTCTAAAGGCTTCCCTGCAAGTCTCTCCTGCCACCACCCGCTTACACACACCCATCTATTCTGGTATGCTAGGGAGGGCGGGAAATATCTTTATCTAGCCAATCGTCCAGTAACATGGGGGTTCTGTGAGTGGGGAAGAAAGGGAGACTAGACGTTGGGTTGGCAACGTGCAGCCCCCACCACAGCCCATGCTCAGAAAGGCATTTTCAGGCGTGTTCCCTATGGAAAGCTCAACTCAAGGTCTGGTGCAGAACTGCAGGGAAGAGGGGACTGGGCTAGACAGCCTCCCTTCTCTAAATAGGCCATCACTAAAGATTTTAAACTCCTGTGAGTGTTGCCTGTGGTCCACATGCACCAGATTGTCTGCAGGCCCATTGGTGTCCCTCGGCCCTACTCCAGGCCTCTGGATTCAACCTGGGGCAAGAAGGATGCCTGGGGCTTGAGTTTTTAACACACACACACACTCCTAGGTTTTTTTCTCCTGTAATTTAAAAAATCAATACCGTGCTCATCAGAAGGGAAGGAACAGAAAGAAGTGGAGAAAGTCCACCTTCCAGCCCCAGCTGAGCAGTGGTAACGCCTCCGCGGCTTCCTGGGGGCTTTTCCTGGACCAGCACTAGGGGTGAGATGGGGGGCACTCTGGAGGGGCCCCGTCTTGGTCTTGTGTCCTTCAGCTCAAGGAAGCCACAGCACTGAGTATGCACAAAGCAGGTAAAGGCCTGGATGGGGCTCAGTCCAGCAGGGGTCCCCAGTGCCTCCGCCACTTCCCGGCCGCACTGTCAGATGATGAGGGGAGCCAGCTCTGGTGCCTGATTCCCACAAGGAGCTGTCACCTCAATCCTGTAACCTGGACGTTGGCTGCACAGGTTCATGGGGGAGCACAACTAGGAGATCCAATCACAGTGGCTTGGGCTGGTGTGAGCCCCAGGGCAGGCTGCCAGGGCCTGCAGCGGCAGCCAGCAGCTCCTCTCCCAACCTGATGGGCACTGACAGGCAGGAAAAGGGCTCTGCAAGTTTGCTCATCCTGGCATTTAAAAAGCAAGCAGCAGCTGACCCGATGCTGTGCACCCACGAGGCTATCCAGACTTCACCAGGGCTCCTTCTGAGACCAGTCCTGCGTCCAGTCGTTGGGCCAGATGCACACGATGCCAAGTGCAGAGAGAGGAGGGCCCTCAGCCCACATGGGAGGGATGCGGCTGTCTCCTTGGTCCCTAGATCATCTCCACCCTTCACACTGGCTCTGGACTGGGGAGGCTGACCCCTACCGACCTCCCACCCATTCAACCACAGGAAGGCCACAGCAAAAGCAGAGGTGGAGCCCGCCCTCCGCTCTCCCACCTGTGGTCACGACTCCTGCCAGGCTCCAAGCTCTCTGGGTTCCAGGCACCCCTTCCCCTGCCTGGAACATACTTCCTGCTGTGCCCAATCCCTTACCTCTGCCCATGTCCCTAAAAGTCCTTAGGTAACCTCTCCCTAGCTAAACTTCTGCTGACACAGAAGGAAAAAACCAAATCTCATCTCACGAGACATTTAGTTGGGAGGCACCATGCACAAGGCCTTGCCCCAAGTGTTATGTGAGTTATGTTCAGGAAAAGGCAAGATAATAAATATGCATCTCCACAGCACAGTCACGTACAGACGTATCTCCTTGAAGTAACCGGCGGCAGTGTCGCTCAACAGACCTGTATCATCATAGACATCACCATGTTATCAAAGGCCCTGCAAAGAGAAATGACCAATTCAGAGCAGGGCAGACTCGGCCCCTCACCCTTTTGCTGGCACAGAGAGGCAGGTGCTGCACCAGTCTCGACCCCAGGATGTTTGGGCCTTCTCCAGGGTCCAAATAAGTTAACTCGGCTGAGAGGCCAGGATGGGAGTCCTGCCACCAGCTACATGAACCCGTCTCCTGCCTCCATGCTTCCCAGGCGGTTTCCGTGGTCACTGGCCAGATTTCCCACTGTCGAAGCCCAAAGGCAGGGGTGGAGTGAGCACGTGGGCAGGCAGGGCCACTGAGAACAATGGCTGTCCCTGCCCTGCACAGCCCAGAGACACCAGGTTCTGCAAACGTTCACCTGCCTGCTCTCATCTGGGCGCAGGATGACCTAAGACACAGTGTCCCAGCTGACAGAAGGCACCCCGGAAAGGGCCTGGCTTGGGTCACTACAGAGATTCCCCGCTGCCTACAGACTGCACGAAGCCCCTTGGGAAATGTCTGGGAACAAGGGAGTTCCTGGAAGCAGGTTTGGAGTGTGCACAAGGACCCCATGTTTCTTTATGAAGCATCTTCGTGGCGCTCAAACGTTACGTCTGCGTGTTTGAAGGCCACGTGGAAGAAATTTGCAGTCCAAACTCCTAACCAGCCAAGTTCAAAGTGAAAGACACATCAGGCAGCAACAAGAAGACGTCTCTCCCTGAAGGCTACTGTCCACATGCTTGGGCCCCTACTGAGCTCTGTAGAGGTGCTGGGTACCTGGCAGGCACATCTGGGAACCAGATGGGCAAGTTCTGCCCTCACTCCACTCTCTCCTTTGATCCGCTTCATACGCTGGAGGTCTACGTAAGAGTTTGTTTGGAAAAACAGGGTTTGGCTGCTTTAAATCACTGCCTTCGGGGACAGCACTCATAGCTAAAAAAGATCTCTCCTCCCCTACTTTCCAAACGGCCCCATCTTAGCAAGGCAGGTCCTACAAAAAGCAAACATCAAGTACCAGGAGAAGGACCCACCTGGACTGGATGCGGTCTCCCGGGTTGTAGAAGGGGTTGCACATCACATCTGTGTAGGAGTTGTGCAGTTTCCGGAACATCTGAAACAAGACCCAACAACGTTCTAAACAACACAGAACACGGCAATTGCCAGATTTTTGGCTTCTCAGCATTTCAAAACAAAGTGAAAACAAAATAAACCCACCCACCACCCAGGCGTGGTCCTCCAGTCCCCTGCGCTTACGCTGCGGATTTCATTGTCTCGTAGGGCTGTGTTAGAGGAATCCACCACCATGACAAACTTCACCTTGGAGTTGGTGACATAGCCATATCTGTACAGCTGGTTAGGGAGTGTGCTTTCAACACAGGGACGCTGTGACAGCAAATGAAATGCGTGCCACCCTGGGGCCCTCTGTGTACCCAGCTTTGGAGAAACTTGACAACCTGGAACTACAGAAGTGCCCAGACTGGGCCTGTCCTGCAGCAACCTCGCCAGGGGAAGCCTGGACACTTCCTGGGGGTGGCATCTGGTGTTTACTAGAGGAGCATAGGGCGGGCAGGCAGCTAAACCCTGCCCAATTCACACTCAGGAGCCAACGTGCCCAGAACTTGAGTGTGTGTGCCTGGGACCACTAATCCTCTTTATGAATCAATGCCCAGCCCGGGGACGTTAATTGCAAAACCACAGGTTTCACGAATATGGGAAATCCCCTTCCAGAGGCCACGTTATATTGTAAAAGTGGCTCCCAGGCAAATGTCAGCATGGAAAGCTACATCACTGCTCATGGGAATGTCTTTGAACTCCATGGCCTCATGCAATTTGTCCCAAGGAAATGGTCAAGAGTTTCCAGTGACTTACGAAGCTGGATCTAATAATGGATAAAATAATTATTCCTTGTTCAAAGATGGTGGCCCCCATGAAAAGCACAGAGAGAAATCTTTGCAGGTACAAGGCAGAGGAGCCCTCCGTTCCTCAATAAACCAGACGATGGATGAGTGTATTCTACTACATTCTCCAGGAAATTAAAGCCTAGCTTTTCCCAAATGATTCTGCCAATTAAAGAGAGAAGAATTAAAGGCCTCCATTAGCCTCAGGCTGCTCCAATTCCCTGGCTAGCTCAAAACCCTCACCTTCTTCTTTTTCTTTTCAAGTGTTTCAAGGTTATTTGACCCTAAAGCACAGCCTGCAATTGTAGGTGCATTCCCCGACACAAACCCTGCTGGGCACTGAAGGATACACTTTGTAGTCCTCCGTGGGGTAGAGCAGGCCCAGGTAGAGCTCCCTCTGGTCCACCAGGGCCTTCCCCATTGCGGAGATCTTCTCATCCACCACATCCAGGGACGTGTGCACCATGTAGTGGAACTTCAGCTCGTTCTCCGTGGGGGTGCTGCGGATGTAGAGAGGGTAATTCTACAAGAAAAGAGGACAGTAACTGAAAGGATGAGAACACACCCGGTGCACACCGGCTCCAACAACATCACCACAGAGTGCTCCACGGGGAATGTACCCTCATTTTCCAAGACCCACTGCTGAATACTCCACACTGCTGCGGGCACTGCCTTTGGGGCACCCAACGAATCTAAGCGGTTCATATGCTGCTTGCAAAGAGGCTTCAGTAGGGTGGACAGAAAAGAGAAGACTCATGGGTTTGAGCGCAGCCTTGCTGGAGCCCACTCTGCCTCGGCCACTCCTCATTCTGTATGAAGTCATCCTAGCTGGCACCACAAATACTGTTTCCTAACACACTGCCTACTTCAATTTTTCACCTTGGCCGTGGCCCTTTTACTAAAGCTTTCAAGACTCAGCTCAAATCCCCTTCATCTCTGCATTTCTGACGATCCTAACCCGAGCTGACCGCTGCTTTCCTGGGCTCCTACAGCCACAACTCATCTCGTGTCTGTTCGGCACCGGGGGCTGCAGAAGTATGGTGAACAAGACATCGTCGCTGCCCTAATGGGGCTTAATGATACCTGATCAATAAACCCTCAAGCAAACAAGCGTGGCTCGAGCGAAGAGGGAGGCCCACGAGAAGCCTCGCAGCAGCCACGGCAGTGACAGGTCTGCCTCCTACGCCTGGTCCCACGCAAGTCCCCGGATAGGAGCATGTGGACGCCACCAACTCGGCTCAGTCTCTTTCCAGAAAAAAAGGAAACATAACGTCGGCCATGAAGGGGACAGGAGCTGGGGGGTGGGAGTCCAGGTGCGGAGGCCGGAGGCCAGAGGGCAGGGCCTGTCCGCGGAGCCGCAACTCAGCGCCCGGAGCCGGGAGGCGGGAGGAAGGATGCGAGCAGAGGCAGGCTGCGGTGGACCGCCCGGCTGGGGAGGGGGCTCGGCGGCTGCAAGCGCGGGCGCGGAGCCAGGCCCGATGGGTGCTGACGCGAGCCCATTCCCTACGGCGCCTCCAGGGCGGGGAGGCGGAGGGCAGGGCCTGTCCGCGGAGCCGCAACTCAGCGCCCGGAGCCGGGAGGCGGGAGGAAGGATGCGAGCAGAGGCAGGCTGCGGTGGACCGCCCGGCTGGGGAGGGGGCTCGGCGGCTGCAAGCGCGGGCGCGGAGCCAGGCCCGATGGGTGCTGACGCGAGCCCATTCCCTACGGCGCCTCCAGGGCGGGGAGGGCGTGGGCCGGAGAGATCCCGAGGGCCCCCATCCCTACGCACCTCCTTGGCGATTACCGCGATGCACACCGCCATCTTGGAAGACCCGCGCCGCGTCACGTGACGCGCGCCGGTCGCGCGGCCGCCGGCACAGCCCTCTCCACCTTCGCCCAGCCCTTCCCGTCACTGCGCGGGCCCAGGCCCCTTCCCCGCCAGGCACAGGCCCCACCCCTCCTGTCACTCCGCGGACACAGGCCCCGCCTCTTTGCCGTGACCACGCTCTCTCCACCGTGGCTCCGCCCCTCCCGTCACTCCGCGGACCCAGGCCCCGCCCCCCCGTCGCACGGCCGGAAGTGCCGCGGGCGCGCAGGCAGGATTCTCGCCGCCGGCCGGGCGCGCGGC